AATTTACCTGACTTTACCTGAATTTACCTGACTATACCTGACTTTACCTGAATTTACCTGACTATACCTGAATTTACCTGACTATACCTGAATTTACCTGACTATACCTGAATTTACCTGACTTTACCTGAATTTACCTGACTATACCTGACTTTACCTGAATTTACCTGACTATACCTGACTTTACCTGAATTTACCTGACTATACCTGACTTTACCTGACTATACCTGAATTTACCTGAGTTTACCTGAATTTACCTGACTTTACCTGAATTTACCTGACTATACCTGACTTTACCTGACTATACCTGAATTTACCTGAGTTTACCTGAATTTACCTGACTTTACCTGAATTTACCTGACTATACCTGAATTTACCTGACTTTACCTGAATTTACCTGACTATACCTGACTTTACCTGAATTTACCTGACTATACCTGACTTTACCTGAATTTACCTGACTATACCTGACTTTACCTGAATTTACCTGACTATACCTGAATTTACCTGAATTTACCTGACTATACCTGAATTTACCTGACTTTACCTGTACCCTAAGTCAAAGGCGATCAGTTTCTAAGTTTAGTTCATAAAGTTCCAAGGTGAGAATAGAGAATATCCCTGATTATCAGAACCAGCCGGTTTTCAGAGTGACAGAAGGTCTTTGCCTCTTCCTGGACTCCTGTCTGCTGGAGGAAAGGTTCATTTTCAGGAGACAATCAGTCGCAGAGACAGAAAGAGGAACCAACTGGAGAGACGCTGCAGCAAATGATGAGTTTTCAAACAGCTGAGTAAGTCTTTTTTTCTGCCCCACACCTGTAAACTCGCTCAGCAGGCCCAGAACACCGGCTGCTCTCATCCTGTGAGGGATTAAACCGTTAATCCGCCGGCCGGCCGCAGATATCAGTGTTTGCAGCTGCAGGTGTGTTGGAGGCAACGTGGGTTTGCAGCGGCTCCAAGATGAGAACGAGTTGGCTGGTTCCACGTAGGGACGCACAGATCCGCCGTTTTCACTCCTAAAACCGAGATCTGAGCTTTATTATCGACCGATACGGAAAAATGATTGATCTGTGTTGCTCACTTCCGCCTGTGAGCCGCTGATGAATGCTAACTGCTGCTAGCATAACAAAGGTTCTCTTTCCCCGGACATTTCCGGGTTTTGCAGTTTTCCAGTAATCCCGTCACTCACCGGGACACGAAACCCATAAATGTTTGTAAAGTGAAAATTCATCAGTTAAATTTACTGAACATGAAAACAGAAACTAAAGAGCCTACTGCTTTATTATCAAATTTAGATTTATGTGTCATTTTTGTCCAGGTTTACTTAAAAAATGAGATATTTTTGTTACAGGTTAGTTTTCTAAGAGGCAGTAAAGTCATTAAGCACAGATATGAACATTTGGGCTGTTTTTGCAGAAATTACCAGTATTTTATTTTAATCAATTTTTTTATTCAATCACTCGACTAATCGTCAGAATAATCAATTACTTAATTACAAAAATAAGGGTAATTAATAGTCTAATATAGATTTAGACTGAATAGATCTGCCCTATTGATCTGGCACACAGTCACTGATACTCAATCTTTTTTCAATAGAGGACCTGATACAGGTATTGATATCGTATCGGTGAATCTCTGGTTCCATGTTTATTCAGCTCTGAGTGGAAACGCTGCGGCTGACCTTCTGCACTCTGGGTTAATGAGTAATGATGGATCCAACGAGCAGAATGGATATTTTGTTAGAAAACACTCTCATGTGGAGAGACCCCCCACCGGGCGGCTCGGTTTCCATCTCCTCTTCCATCTCCTTGCCTGCTCCGCCTGCAGCCGTCCCGGCCGGGACAAACTGTTTGCTCGTTGTTTCTCCCTGAGGCGCGGTGCCTAATGAGCTGCTTCTCAAGGACAAACCCAGAGAAATCAGCAGCCGACCTCTAGGGGGTCCGCTGAGTTATGGCGCCCGGCCGTGTTTGGTCCGTGGCTTTTCAAAGTCAGCCTGTGACACTGAGACGTGCTGTGATGCAGCTGTTCAGTCAGAAACGCAGCGTCGCCCTTCCTGCATCTGAACCAAGATGTTTCTCTCTCAGTAGGAGGTCTGGTGCTTTTCCTGTTTCACAGGAGAGGAATCCCTGAGTACAGCTGATTGTTGTTAAATAAGATTTATGTGGAAAAAATCCTAAAACTCATTTACCAGGAAAGACGGGAGAAAAGATGGATGGAGGACATCGGTCTGATTTTTGACATGTAATTCTGCACCTCCCAGGTTACAGTGAAAGCTTTATACAGTCAGAAATGTCTTTCATAAGCTACATCTTATTGTTTACCACCAGGAGCCACTCTCTGCTCAGCTTTCTGACCGTACAGTCAGAGATTTACAGAGCAGCAGCTAAAGCAAAGGAGGCGGATTAGCAGAGCTGCTAGCAGATGATGATGTCATCATGTTACTGTGGAATATCGTCTCTGCTGTCTGGATGTTGAGCTGTTAGCATGTTAGCATGAGACTGTCATACAGCAACAGTCTTCAGTCAGAGGCTTATTCAGATATGTTGGAACACTGACTGCTACTGGAGCTCCTTCCTGCCTGCCATCCACTCTTTGAAGATAATTGCATAATATGTTACATGTATATTAATTTAATTGAATTATAGAAAGATCTGCATTACAGAAACTTTTTAAAGTTTTTAGTTTTCTGTTGTTGACAGGCACCAGCAGCCCACTGGGACAAGGTGTTAGAGGATGGATGGATGATGGATGGATGATGGATGGATGATGGATGATGGATGGATGGATGGTGGATGGGTGGGTGATGGATGGATGGATGATGGATGGATGATGGATGGATGGATGGATGGATGGATGGATGGATGGATGATGGATGGATGGTTTTCTGTTGCCTCTGACGTTTGTCTATAGATTTGTTGTTACTGATTGTAATTTGAGAGGAAACTGCGCCCCCTGTTGCGCGCAACGCGCGGAGGGTAAAACCCAACATCTCCTGTGTGTCCTTGAATTTCACACAATCCACCCTGCAGCGGATTTATCCCGCGGACTCCGGAGCCAACGCCGCTGGCTCGGCTGGTTCCGCTGGACCCGTCCACTGGATCCACGCTGCGTGCTGCCGTGACGCTTCCGGTCACCTTTACGCAAACTTGAACTTGGTGAAGCTGCTCGGGGCAGCCGTGCTGCGCACAGCCCCCTCCCTGCGCCTCCTCTTCCTCCTCCTCTTCTTCCTCCTGCTCCCGCAGTACCGCCAGCTGGGCTGGAACGGGACACTTTGGCCGAACCTTTACCTGCTTCCCGCACCGCTGCTCCGGACCGCTGCCCGCCTTCCGCCGGCTGGAGGCTGCGGACGCCGGGGATGCTCCCCGCGGGATGAGGCGGCTGCTGGTGGACCGCCCGCGGTGGAGTTGAAGAGGTTGCGGTGGGATCACGCAGACAGGGGGGAGGGGGGCTCCCTCGGATCTCATCCGGCCATCTGGAGAGGAGTGCGGGACACAAAACGGTAAGCTGCTCCATAAGTTACATCCGCTGTCCGCAGAGATGATTTCTGTTGCTTCACCTTTACATTAAATATTCACAACACTCCGGAAAAACCAGATAAAGTCAGACTCTGTTTTATTGAGGAGCAACACTTTAAGGGGGATATTTGGTTCATTTAAATGTTGAGGGAGTTAAATGTTGTCATTTGGTTTCTAAAGGAATCTATTCATTTTCTCTGAAGCCAGTCAATCATAAAAAGTCCTGGAAGTGATTTCGGTTCGCAGCTGGTTTCCTCATTTCTGACCTTTTCAAACTGAAGTGATTCGTTATTTTGTCGCCTTCCAGCTGCAGGTTCCAGCGGATTCTGGGCTTCCTGTGCAGGTTGCAGGTTCTCCCTGCACCGCTGCTGCAGCAAACAACCAGACGCTTCATTACTGTCTTTACTGCAGCCGGTCTGACTTTCACTGACCTGCCGAAGTTACAACCCATCATCCATCAACCTGCTGCAGCTGGGGCTCAAACTGTCCTTTTACTGCAGCACGACTGATACTGTTTGATAAATGAACACACACACACACACACACACACACACACACACACACACACACACACACCTTTATATTAGATTTATTACAACAAATGCTACAGTGTTTATTATATTAATATTTTAAATGGTATCCTGGTGAATTAACATGCTGCATCTCTTAGAATACAGAATTTTACGCTACATTTATCTAAATCCTAAATTTAACTATTTATTTATTTTCTTCATCTTCCATATAATTATTTAGAATTAGTTTTTTGTAAAATGATATTTAATCTTTAATTCTGTCTTTTGTGTGGGTCTGTGACCAAAGGAGCCTAAAAGTAGCTGATCATCGTCGTCCTTATTTAACTTTCCAGTAGGAAACACAGAGAATCGGTTAATATTCTGGTCTGAGGAGGAAAGCAGGTGATTTATTGCTCTGTGGCCGACACCGACTCAAAATCAGCAGATTTATGTTGATGTAACTGAAAAACTCGTTTATTCTGCAGGCTCGTCCTTTTCCCCCTTCAGTTTGTAATACGAATGCTGATCTGAAGCTGTTTTTATTTTCCTGTGATGTGAATGTTTGACTTGCATGGACAGGAGGAACCTGCAGGACTCTAAGTAGCTCAGACAGTTTGTCTGGGGACTGAGCTGGAAGAGGACACGATGTTGTCTCCATCAGTGTTGTGAGTCAGGAGTCACAGCGGCAGATGAGTGTTGTTTTCAGCGCAGGAAGAAGTGCATAAATTTTTAAAACCGGGCAGCAGTCTGCAGAGGAGTTCAGGCCAAATTGTTGCACATCCTGACTTCTGGTTCCTAACTTCATGCTGTTGTCTGCTGCTAAACTTTCCTCTGGAAGAACTGGTCAAACAGCAGAGAATGAAATACTAAAGAGCTCAGAGAAAAAGTTTTAAATGTATTTAAAGTTCCTAGAGAGATTTATTTGTTGGATTTCTGGGTTGACGTGCAACAGATGCAGAGAGCAACTCAGCCAATATTGAAGTTATTATCTGAAAAATATGGGAATAAAAAAACAATTCTTCAGGTTAAAGTGCAGCCTTGCTACAGTAGATATGTAATTAAAGAGCCTGAGTCAGATAACACTCATACTTTGTGACCAGTAACAGTTTAGAGCTTTTTTACAGCCAGGCAGTCTGGGCAGCTGAAACGGCGAGCTGTGCCAATAAGTTTTAGAGCATTTCTCTTGGCAGCAGAAGAGTTTCTGATCTGTGATTCAGTGTCTGTCTGCAGGAAAGCTGCCACTAATTCACTCTGAGTGTGAACGGCACTGATGTTTGTTCATTTATCAGCCGCCTGACTGAACAAGTCGGCCTGTCTTTGGACGCTGATTGGTGTTTAAGTGAATTAGCTGTAATGAACTATTAATAGCTGATGCTAACCGTTGGCTGGATGTGACCGTTTGTCTTTCTGCTCGTTCCTCTCCAGCGCCTGCATGATGCCGCCATGTTTCCCTGATCCGCCTGGCTGGCAGCCATCAGCCTCCAATCAATAACCAATGAGCTCCTGAGGAGGAAACCGGAGGAACCCAGATCCAGTTCTGAACTTTAACTACAGTCACGAGTTAAGCAGAAGTTCTTCAGAGAGGCGTTGGCCTCAGACTGGTCCCGTTGTGAGTCCTGTTGTCCTTCCTGATGCCGCCATGCCCATCATCAGCAACACCAACCATGACTTCAGCAACCTGTCGGTCAGCGACGACAGCAGCCTGGACCGCATCTTCACCGAGATTCCAGAGACCGAGACCATCAAGGTGGGCTGAATCTGAGTTACAGCTAGCAGAGCAAACATAACCAGACACCCCACTGGGCTGGCCTGTTCACACCGATCAGCCAATCACACGGCAAGAGCTCGAAGCTGACGGGACCAGTCCAAGTCCAAACCGAGCAGCAGAGGAAGTGAGACTGACGGCAGCATCTGAGCTGCTGGGATTTTAACCCACAACCGTCTCAGGTTTACAGAGAATCGTCTGATGAGGATGGCAGGAACATTTCTGATTCAGAGGTTTTGCTAACTTTGAAAAAGTTTAGCGCTTTTAGCTTCCCCTAAATTAATTTCTCCATTTAAATTCTAAAACAATAATTTACTCGGCTGTTTTGTAAACTTTCAGTTGAATAAAGTTCAACGTTTGTTTTGATGTTTTGGTTACCGACTGATAATAATTCAAGTGGTTAGATATTTATATTCATGCTCTTATTTTGAAGTCTGTTTATGCAGCAGTTCCATTTCCTCTCCTTGGTTCGCTGTTTTTTACACAAACTTATTGCGCAAGTGGCGTTTATCAATGATTGATCAAATTGTTAATCATTTAATATCTAAAAATGACATCATCAGACGAACCAAAATGTAAAGTTAAATGGAAATGTTGGTATTTTAAAGACCAAAATGATGAGCATTCGCTTCAGTAGCAAAAACTAAAAATCAGGCAAAATAATTGTTTTTCCACATCAGATTCTTTCAATGAAAAACTTCTAAAACTTTAACAAAACCTGCAGGTCTTAGTCTGGTGAATTTCAGAGTAAAACCTGTTTGTTTTTTCATTCAGTGGCTAAAAATCCAGAAATTTTACTCAAATAAGAGCAGAAATATTTCATAACATTTCTCCAGTAAAGTAAAGCCTGCAGCACGGTAAAAATGCTCCTAAAATAACTTTATTATAAATGTAACTGAGTAAAGTAACTAGTTCCAACCCGACTCTGCCTGCAGCAGAAGCAGACTTCACCGGGTCGGGTCAGAACTTGGTGTTTTCAACATGGAGGCTCATGCGTGGCTCTCTCTCCAGGGCGTCTACTACCAGAGGGCGCAGTTGATCCGCAGGCAGGAGGACCTGGTGTCGGTGGACCACGCCCTGCTGGCTGTGATCAACGTGGGGGGAAACCGCTACACCTTCCCCTGGACCACCCTGCAGCAGTTCCCCCTCACCAGACTCGGCCGGCTCTGCGGCTGCCGGTCGCTCGAGGACATCGCCAGCGTGTGCGACGACTACGACGAAACCAGGAAGGAGTTCTTCTTCGACCGCTCTCCGTCCGCCTTCAAGGTCATCCTCAACTTCCTGGCAGCGGGAAAACTGCGGCTCCTGCGAGAGATGTGCGTCCTTTCCCTTCACGACGAGCTGAACTACTGGGGGGTGGAGATGGCGTACATGGAGCGCTGCTGCAAGAGGAAGATGTACACCCGCATCGAGGAGGTTCACGAGAAGGAGAGGCGGGAGGAGGAGCGGCGGCAGAGAAACGCCATGCAGCGCCTGCCGGTGGAGGAAACCAGGTACAGGAAGGTGATGAACTGGCTGAGGGACATGGTGGAGAATCCCCAGTCCGGCCTGCCGGGGAAGATCTTCGCCTGCCTGTCCGTCATCATGGTCGCCGTCACTGTGGTCAGCCTGTGCATCAGCACCATGCCCGACCTCAGGGAGGAGGAGGACAGGGTGAGCTGCCGTGGCCGGTTGGGGCTCCACCGGCTTCACGTCTTTATTTTTGCATTTCGTGTGTTCAGTGAAGTGGTTGGAGGAAACGTTTACAGTTTAAAGATGAGCTGATATTTTTATGCCTTATTTTACCAGTAAACAAAACATTTTTATGGTTTTACCTCCAGCAAACACCACATGATCTAACCGGGGGGGAAATGCTTCACTGAGGAGGGAGCTTGGATCAATCGATCCATCGATCGATCGATCAAGTTTATTAGCAGCACATTTCAGCAACACGGCAGTTCAAAGTGCTGCATGAAAACACAAAACTGACCATAAACAGCTGAGTTAGAAACTGGAGCTCCAGCAGCAGCGCTGTCCTCTCTGGACGGCTTTTCAAAGCAGCAGCAGCTTCTGTGGTCGACTCTTCCTCTTCCTCTTCCTCCATTCTATCTTTATCTTCATTTGCCAAATTGAAACTTCTGAATATTACTTATTGTGCAAAATGATTGTTCTGGCTGGATGCAGTTAGCACCTTAGCATTCGTCATCTACCCAGGATGCATTGCAGCGTAAACAAGAATATTCTATTTTAATAAAAACTCAACTCAGGATTTTTATTGAATTGCTTTTATCTTTGATGCAAAAGTTTCTCAGATTGTTAAGTGAGGAAGAATTAGTCGTTCTTTAGTGAAGATGTTCCTGTCGGGGTGGAGAGCTGGACTTCCTGGCGGGTTGCATGTGTGTGTGTGTGTCTGGCGATGCAAGTCGACCAATAGCAGCAGGCTGTAATGAGGCCCGATGCGACGCGCCCACCGGAGCCTGTCCGGTCTCTGCATAACAAAACGGGCTTATTGGACCTTTAAAAATAGGATACTCACAAAAACATGCATCACCCCACACACACACACACACACACACACACACACACACACACACACACACACACAGTCCTGTCACCGTAACCAGTAAATCTCTGAATAAAGCAGAGATTCAGAATCTCTCTTTTCAGCTGCTGGTTGAAGTTGCATAGATTTTCATTCTGTTCCATAATTAGAAAGTCCTCCATGTTTTTAGCCTCTCCGATGGAAACATGTTTCCAATCTTCATCCCAGCAGGAAAATGATCATGCAGGTCTGTGATCCTGTTCAGGAACAGACTGAGGGGAACCCAGACTCTGACGGCTCATCATGGATTGTTTGGTTTGCATCTGGATGAGGCTGAACTTTACAGCAAACTTTACATTTTAGTGACTTTCCAGATGTTTTCTTTAGGATACATATTCACATATTGGAACTCTGAATATTTAAAAGTGTTTGCATAAATAAAGCAAGAGCTGAATTTAAAATGAGGTTTTTGAGCGCAGAGGGAAGTGATCAGTTAAAGGCCTGAACAACAAATGACCACAGCTCCTCATTATTCATGGCTGCTCTGGTTTTCTCACAAACTTTCAGATCAAAATGTTTGGTTTTTAAATCTCATCAATCGTTTTAACTTTCTGCAACTTTAAATCCCAATCCTGGCTTTGTTCCCGTTTCAGATGCTAAATAATGCAGCTCGTTGCCTCCTGTCTCTTTAAGCATCACAATTATCTCTTCCTGTAAAAAATCCCAGAAAGTTTTCTGTTTTTGTGCTTCAGCTCTCCTTTGTTCTGCCGTTACATAAGAAGAAATCTCACTGCAGGTGTCCTCAGAGGATCTGATATGAAAATTATCACAAGTACAGGATAATGGCTGAAAATAGATTCACTGGAATCTGTTCCAATAAAGTATTTCATGCTTTTATTCTCACTGAAATGAAATCAAGCATTTCAGAGCGTTGATTCCATTCGTTATGTCATTATGAAGCTGAATTTTCCTTTTTTCAGTCTGTTAGCAGCAAAGCTTTAGATACGTAGCGATTCATAAACGGTTCAGAAGTCATGATGCAGGTATTGATCCGAGCTGCAGCAGAGCGAGAGAGAGCAATGCACTCAGCCAGGCGGACCAGAAAACGTGACGACTCTTAAGACTCCGGCAGGAAATGGCCAGAACTTCCTGAATCATTAAAATAAAAGCTTTGACTCAGTGTAAACATGCAGGACTGAGCTTTTTGTATAAATTATGAATAAAACTGAGGATTAATGGACAGAACTTTGTTCGGGTTTGTCGATGTGTCGCATCTATTGAAGAGTTTCTGTATTTGTGACGGTTCGTTTGTTAGCAGAAGTTTCCAGGAACTTGTGAATGAATTTGCATAAACAGGAGCTGGTTTCCTTACAGACTTCAAAATAATTCAAGTTGTGTTTTCATCACTTCAGTATTATTATTTTCAGACATTGTTTAGATTTACAGTCTGGATTCTTCTGCTGCTGAATTATCACGTCTCACGTTAATCACATAAGAGTCGGATGAAATGCAACATGAGCGATCAGGCTGCAGACTCTGGAACCATCGGATGTGATTCAGTTCCACATCTGGGAGTGACACAGATTGGGTTTACGGATCCGGGTCGCACCGCCTGCTGTGGGAGCCACAAGAACCAGTCTCATTATTTCTGTGGCTGTTTTACTGCAGGGGGCAAAACCAGTTTACCTCCACCAGCCGAGGAACCCAAACCATTCAGAAAGGTTCTGCAGGAGAAGGTCGGGTCAGAAAGGTTCTGCAGGAGAAGGTCGGGTCAGAAAGGTTCTGCAGGAGAAAGTCGGGTCAGAAAGGTTCTGCA